AAGGACAACCCTGTGGGGCTTCCCTTCAGTTCCTCATCTCAGTTATGTCTCTTCTTCCACTGAAGGGTGATTTGTCCCTGGCCTCTCCTCAGCAGCTCAGGAAGTACAAAGAGAAGGCACACCGAGGTGCGGATAGAATAAGTACATACTTCAGCATCTGGCATAGTTGCAAGACAGCAGTATGAATGAAAGCTTGGTTATTATTCCATTCTTACCCAAATTCAAAGAAACACAAGTTCAGCAAGGGAAAACACTTATGGGTAATTAAAGAGGTTTTCACCTGCCCAATGCGATGTGCCCGATCCATGGCTTGCAGGTCTCTCATTGGGTTCCAGTCGTGTTCCACAAATACTACTGTATCAGCCCCTGTTAAGTTAAGTCCCAATCCACCAACATGAGTGGTGAGCAAAAGAACATCTATAGATGGGTCATTATTAAACCTGCATACAAAAAAGTTAAGCATGGTAAATGTCATTTAAGTAGTGAATTTAGGAACCTCAACTACTTTGAGGCAGACAAGACAACAAACTTTGTACTGTATAAATAATATAGTTCATTACAGTTGGCCTCATATTGGTTGTGAAGGGATATGCTTACCGTGACACAATGGAATGCCTCTGACCAGCAGGTATGCTGCCATCTAGTCGTAAATAAGTAACTGAAGGTAACTGAGGTCTGAGAAGGTCGTGCTCCACTATATCCAGCATGCTTTTAAGTTGACAGAAGATAAGTACTCTGTGCTGTGCCACAACAGCTTCTGTACCACTTTCTGAAGATCCACCATTCCCCAAACCACAGTCTAGCAGCAGCTTAAAGTAAAAGAGCATTAAAGTGTATCATCAAAATAAGAGTAGATCTCATGTAAACATTGACAGACTGTCAAAAGTAGAAATAAGAGGAAAACTACAGAAGGAAGTCCGAGTCACTTAAATGACATAATACAAATTTTGGCTTCAATGTCAAACTATGAAAAATGTAAGAGTCAAGAGAATTGTCATTTTCTTCATTTTGCTTTACTTACAATAAAATTTATGTAATACAATTTAACTTTATCAAGCTAATAATCTCCAGTAAATAAAAGTTTTTCTGTAACAAGAGGGTTACAGGAGTTAAAAACAGAATAAAAGTAAGGTTTTTGACAAGGCAGCAAAAACTATGTAAACATCACCACCTTGAAGCAAGCTTGCACTTCCCCTCTCCCCTTGAATTAAGAGGAAAAAGAGAGTACAAGGGGTTTTTAGGTATATGGCCTATTTCATTTGCTACTTGACTAGTGTTTTCAGATGAGTTTTCATATTGATGAAGTCTTAAACAAAACTTTCTAAATTGTATCAACAGCAGAGACATTTACGAAATTGAAGGCACAACATATAAGTCTACTTACTTGTTTTAAGGCAGACAGCTTAGGTGCATGTTGGATATCTCGAAGGGATGAATTATGAGCTGCAAGTTGCTCTGTAATTCTTTTATATTCTGGATGTTGGGTCGTTAACACTAACGCTGGATGGTTGCATAGCTTCCGTAAGTATTGCAATGCCTTTAATCATTTAGGAAATAAAGTTCAAAGAAATGGTTAGCAACAATGTAGTTACAGAAAAATGATGAACAAAATTGATAAGTACAGATAGGGGCAGTCAGCCACATTCCACAATTTCGATGTTACGGTGTATTTTCATTCAAATAAAGCTGCACATTTATATTAACGAAATCTAGGTTTCTAACTGTACGAAAGAACTGTTAGGAGCATAATGATCTTGGTTCCTCTTACAGGAACAGGGCAGACTACCATTTCCCACTCCTTCACGTGAGTGGGGGATAGCACAGATGTGTTTGGGAGCTGTGCAGAGCCTTTGAGAATTATTTTTTCCAAGTAGCCAAGATTTAAGCTGCAATTCAGTAAGACCATGAACCTTCATAAATTCAGATCTAACCTTAAGGAAACTTTTTTGTTCATGTTTTAGAATCTTCATTTTGTAGTGTAACAGCTGATGAGATGAAAATTAGTTCTCTCTTGTTTTGAGGTTTTGCACTTTTGGTAATTAGTTTTTAATTGAGAGTAGTATCCAAGATCCACAAAATAACTGAACACCAGTTAAGCACAACATACTAAAAAATTTAAGATGGTTTTATATGACTTAAGACACACACCCATAATTTAAGCATAATAGCTATACATCACATTCCAGGCAGTCTGATCGAAAAATCTAAATTTTTTACCTAGATCATATGGCCACAAATGTGTAAGTTAACTATTTTGATTTTCATTTTTTATTAAACCCAGAAATACAGTTACCAGCAATGAATTAACTAGGTAGTAAAAATTACTGAGGGAATATGTACCTGAAATACATGACCTGTAGCTTTAAGCTTTGGTTTTTCAGTTTCTTCATTCAGCGAAATTGAAGAAACTGTTTCATCAATATCACATTTGGCACGAGACTTGGCAAAGTCTTCATAAAGCTGAACCTGTAGACCAGGCCCCAGACAAGAGAATGAGTATGTTTCCCCAGCAGAAGACAAACAGCCATTTTTAGCGTTTAGTTCCAACTTAAAGTTCTGAATTACCATAAATCAAAAAATACCCTATATGTAGCACAAAATCAGCATTAACAGTGGAACCTTTTGCAATTTATTCTCTTTCAGCTTGGAAAGTATTCTTTAAACAGATGCCTAGACGTTCTTGTAGAATGATGCCAGAAATTAAGCTAGAGAAATACTCTTTTGAACTGGATTGAAGTTAGTTTTTAAACATGTACTAGAAACACTTTTTCATCCTGTGGTCCCAGAGAATGTCAGAGCTGACATCAGATTGACCCAGAAATACAGAAGTGTTTCCTTTGTGGTCTTAACTGTGCTGAAAAAACTAAGCTTCCAGCCACTTTTTAAGCATACCTGTAGAGGACTGAGAATACAGTAATAATCTTGAATAATTTTGGGTGGAAGATCTTGCAGTACATCCTCCTTCATTCTTCTTAGCAGGAAGGGCAGAACTTGGCGGTGCAGCGCTTCCATTGCAAGAACCCCTAGTGAAGGCAACAGAAGCAGTATTTCAGAAAAAAAAAAATTCAAAGCATTCAGCTCCCCCCCAGTCTCTTATGTTGGAACTGTCCCCACTTTCTCCTTTTGTTAGCAGTTCTCGTTTAAAGGAAGAAAGCAAGAAAACCAAGATTTAAAGTTTGATCCTTACCTGCCTCTTGTTCTCGACTGGAGCTTCGGGCATCTCTACTTGCCAGTATTGGTTTGCCGTAACGAGCTGCAAATTGGCGTTCAGTGCCCAAAAATCCTGGCATAAGGAAGTCGAACAACGACCACAACTCTAAGACATTGTTCTGAACATAAAAGAAACATTCATTAAATTATTTTCAAAAGTAATGAATTGTTACAAGTTCTTAGAAACATTTCCATATGTATTTAACAATGCCTATAAAATACTAAAAACGTAACACTTCACAACATACTTTTGAGCTCCTGGAACTTGGTGACTCTTTCATCAGCTTATGTTACAGGAAAACCTGTGCATGTACTTTAACATATAAATCGACTTTCTACAGTGTCTGATGTCTTAAGCCACACCCTGAGTTCTTCTGGACAACAAAACCCAGGAGACACCAGTGGTCTTAATCCTGGATGAGACAGATACTCCACAGACAAGCCATTAGGACAAAGCCCAAAAATCTGGAGTTCTCAGAGTTGAGTTTCTTACTAATTTCACTGGAGGCGTAAGGAAACACTCTCTCCCCTTCCCTGCCTGCTACTTAAAGAACAAGTCCTAGAGGAAGTCTTGTTGCCAACTTTTGAGCCCCATTAGTACCATGGATCCTGCACCCATCCCCCTACACATAGGTATACTGGGAAAGAAACATGACGTAGTTTCAAGCATTCAGCTATGAAAGGCTTTTTTACAGTGTCTACTTTGAACAAGACAACTCTGATGAAAAGCAAAATAAAATGGACTGCAAATCAGTTCTTTCCTTATATTCTACTACTCACCCAACTCCTTAGGAAGAAAAAAGGTAGTTACCTGGATTGGTGTCCCAGAAAGAATTATCCTGTAATTAGCAGTCAGCTGTTTTACTGCTTTTGACAGCTTTGTTTTTCCATTTTTTATGACATGGCCTTCATCAAGGATGCAGTAGTTAAACTTAATATTTCTAGAAAAGAAGGACATAGACTTAAGTAGCATTTAAAATTCAAAGCTATTAAAAAACCACAGAAAACAAACGAATTCTTACCTGAAGAAGTCAATGTCATTTCTTACAACATCATATGAAGCCACTATGAGATTGTGTCTTTTCACCTGGTGTTGTAATCTTAAAAAAAAAAGTGATCATAACTAAAGTGTTCCTTACATACATACCATCACCAGTTTTACCATGCCCACAAACTATGCTTCAGTAGCGGCAGTAAAGTGAATTGCAAAATTCTGTGTGTGATATTTCTCCCTACCCAAGTCATAAATGCAAAATACATTACCTTGCTCTCTCAGTAGGAGGTCCTGTATAGTGCAAAGGATTAAGATATTCTTTTGAGCAAAATTTGCCCACTTCGTCCACCCAGTGTCCTGTGAGTGTAGGAGGGCACACCACCAAGGAGGGAAGAGGAACACTGTCCACCAGTTTTGTTCTTGCATATTCCTGAGCCCTTTAAGAATATCAAAAGTTTGAAAAAATTGTTTTTCACAGAATAGTTGAGATTGGAAGGGACATCTGGGAGGTCCAGAGCCAGCTGCCAAGAACTATGTCCAGAGTCATTACCACAGAGAAAACCTATTATTAGTCTTTAAGACAGAATGTTATTTAAGCTTACCTGAGGCAATGATCACCTGCAAGAATGCAAATTGATTGTAAAGTTTTTCCTAAGCCCATGTCATCACAAAGAATTCCATGAAGTTTGTATTTATTGAGAAATGCCAGCCAGTTCACTCCATCCTGAAATCAGAGGAAAAGAGTGTGCCTCAGAAGTAAAAACTGGCTTTTGGCTAGTTAAGCTTCTGTTCAAATGTCTGTGTGTTCTATCATCCATCATTGCCAAACTATGAGCTTGTTTCCCACCATAATAGGCACCCACTACAGCCCACTCAAAGCAGAGGGTGAAGCATAAGCAACCAAACAGTACAATGAGGCCTGGCTTCGCAGTGGTGAGCTGCCGCAGCCAGCCTAGGCAAGGCACAGCCCATTGGCCATTCCCTGAGAAAAATTACAGAATACAGAGATAGGGGAAAATATAATTAAAAGAAAACCAGTATAAATGGCATGCATTACTTAGTTTGTTCTTCCTTACCCAGGAGTCCAAGATACACATTACACAGCTAAACTAAAAACAAAACCCCAAAGAACTCCAGCACCTGAACAATTCCTATCCTTCCATAAAATTGTATCAGACTGGAACTTAGTTCTCTTTTAAAATAAAAGTATAAGCTATTACCTGCTGGTATTTTCTGAGCTCTGCTTTGATTGGTACTGGAATTTTATAGTTTTCCAGTTTTTTTCCATCCAATAATTGTTCCAGAAAGTGACGTTCTTTAGCTTTCATTCGGATTAATTCTTCAGACATGTTTGGTGGATCTGGTATACCAGCCTAGGATAATAATTTTAAAGCAGTAATATAAGGGCTACAGTACTTAATTCTCACACAGACAGTAAGAAATAAACCTCACACTAGCTTAGACATTTTAAACAGATAGCAAAGATCTGCAATCTTCTCAATTGTATAAATCCAAACTCAGTCCTATACTTGTTTGATTCCTTGCAGATCCGCTCATCCAGGGTTGTAGGATGCAAAAGAAATTCTGCCCCAAATATCACTCTGAAAAGCTTGATACAATTGCACAGAAGAGAGGAAATCTTGGTCATGCTTCTAAGATTTTACAAAGACTGAGCTATTTATCTCTAATCAGAGATTTTAACTGGCTGGCTTGAGAATCCTTTGACACCCATTTCTCCTTAGCCACAGTCTACCATACAAAGTTAGATGGATTTTCTCTTACAGATGTTAGCAGAATTAGATCTAAGGTGATACTGAAATCCATAGGTTGAATTCAAGCAGTTGGAAACTACTGGGGAAGAAAAAAGTAAACCCTTCCAGGTTTGTGGCAGCAGACCTTGGCTTCCTAGGTACTTCCCACACCAGGCCAAAAGGCCAAAGCAGCTGTATCTGGGGACCAAATGTGCTCAGATATTCTTGCCTGCTAATAATACACAGTAGCAAAAGAGGCACTGATATTTTCTATCATCATGTCTGTCATCCCAGTTTTCTGGGCAACCTCCAGCTTTAGTCGGCTTTACTTCAAAACCCAAGTTACTCATCACTTCGGGAGGGCTCCTGGCTGAGAAGAAAACCTCTATCAAATAATTCCACTGTGTATGTGGTTAATAAGGAAGGAAGAAAACTAACCCAGGTTTCACATGTTACACATTATCCAATAAGGTATTTAAGTACATCTGTACACACACACACCAGCCTACTTGTTTAAATGTTCTTACTCTCACTTTTGAAAGAACACATCTGAAGTGTGAATACCATGCCACTTAATTTGGTTAAAGTATATTGTCAACTTACAGCATGATTGATTATCAATAAAACAGGACAGATTAAGTCAAACCATTTATCTTACAATCCTTTTCTCAGTCATATTTTCATGTTTATGGTTGAGTCAATAATAAAACAGCTATTTCCCTAGTCCTATCAATCTATCCCTTACTTTTTCCACCGAGATGACTCCAACCCCTCTACAGTTATCAATTTAAATTCCTTGTTTGGCCTAACATTTAAAATTGCTAGCATTCTAAAGACTGTCCCACAACAATACTGGTATTTTCTCTCATTATTAATCAACTTCACTCTAAGTTTGCATATTTAATATAGTTCAATACCTGATTCTGAACTTAACTGGAAGGGGAAGTCTTAGGAGAGTTGAGTAATTATGGAAAAGAAAGAGGAACTGATCATGCGTATGTATGCAATTAATAAAACACGTAGCCTACATTTTAAAGAGATGTTCACTAAATTATATTAAAATAGCTTTAACTACATGTATTCCACAGAATTGTATTTAGATGCATATGACAGGCACAGGTACAAATAGCACTGGAATGAACAGCAGCATGCCAGAAGTTAATTTTTACTTCACTCACTTTCAACTTCTTCAACATTTCAGTTTAAGCATGCAGAAAGCGCTCCATTTAAGGCAGATTCCTAGTTATCAGATTCTAAGGTTCTATTATTCTAAATTAAAAATTGACATAACAACAGATACTAAACAGATTAAACTGACTTTTTCCCATTAGAAACATGCAAACAAATTCTGAACTGTCTTCTTGTGGTAAAAATAAGTTACTTAGTTACTTAGAAATCTTGTAGTCCTTGAAGCGCAGTATTAGTGTTTGAGGTATGCAAGTTGTAGGAGTGAAAAACGGAAGCGAATCTGTACTGATTAAGCACTACTGGTTCATAATACATGTAATATTTTGCCCAATGCCATAGGGTGGGACTTTTTGATTTTAAGAGCTAGAAATAAGTAACTGTACTTATCTCCACACTGTTTCTACTACTGCTATTTCAATTTTTCCTTTTAAATCAGTGTTGCTTTTTTAATGCATTTCTCTTGACTACGTACACTATACCACACATACCTAGGGAGACTGCACATAGTCTCAAGACTTTTGAGCCAAAACTAGCAAAAGCAGCAGTGCATACAAAACTAATGAATATACACTTTAACTTCATGTATGCCATTGAAATGAGTTTTATAAAAAGAAATTTTACTTTAACATTAACTTTAAAAGTTACTTAGAGGGTCCAATTTTACTAATTTTACATTATAAAGGACACATCTTCAACATCTATAAAAACAGTTACTTATCCAGCGTTTAATAAGCCAGAAGCTCGGACTTTGTGGCTGGTGAGAAAGTGAATACAGGACAGTTCACATACTTGGTATACTTACAACCTGAGCTTACCTCAAGAGGCATTAGTCTAATTAGTGTTGCAAAGCACTGAGTAGCCATAAAACGTACACTGTCTGTCTGATCACTCATTCTACCGAGAACCGGAACCACTAGAAGAACAATGTATGGAACAATACCAACATCTAACTGCTCCATTACACCTGGATCAGTTATTAAGGAAATAGTTTTAACCAGTTCAGGATTGTCAGACATCAATATATACCTGGCAGGTTTTACACTCAATAGGTAAAAGTCATTGATACATTACATTCAGATGAACAAGATTTTTACTAAGAAAGCAATGGGGACAAAAAAAAAAAAAAGAAAAAAGTCTGATCTACCCAGTTACATTTAGCCCAGTGAATTCCATGATTTGAGAAACTAAATTACCTCCACCAAAACATTCAATAGATAAAATAAAGGCAATGGAAATTAAAGTTTCTTCTATTTCTTGTCTACAGGAAGACAATAGCTTAATATTTATTCATTCCTCCTTTTTTTCAGGAAACAGTTTTTGTTCCCCCAAATTACGTGACTGCAAAGAGGTTCCTGCATTTTGAATACTCAGGCAAGGATACACGCAAGTGCTTCAATTGCACCTTCTTGTTTGGTGTTGTCATCTATTGCTCCCAACCACGGCAGAACTTTCTCTAGGAAGATATTCATCGTTTCCATGGTAGCTATTTTGCTCATAACACCTACACAACGAGCAGCCATGTGTCTCACTGCAGTGCTGGGATGTTGAAGGCACATATAAAGATGAGGTAAATGCTGGATTAACTGAATAGAAGAAGGGAGGGAAAGTTAATATGAATTATAAACAAATTACTGAATTATTTTTGAAGTAAACAATTTAAGTCACTGTTGCCTCCCAAAGAATGCTTGAAATGGCTTCTTAACAAGATCTAATTGTTTAGAACCAGAAAAAGACAACTTTGAACAAGTATTACTCCCAATATAGTTAAAATTCAGAGAGTAACAAAACATTTAAGGCTTTAGTCAAAATGCAAATTAAAAAAGCCCTTGATAATTAAGGAAGTGTTTCACACTAGAAAATACAGTGTAAGTACTCAGATTTTTTCAATAAAAATATAATTATTGTTTAAATACAGATACATAGATTAAAGAATTCCTTCCAGCTAGCAAGTTTGTCCTAGACTCATCCCATTTATGTTTAGGCAGACTAATTATCAATGTTGGGAGTCTTACTAACTCTGTGTGACAAGACAGACGCCCAGAGGAAATTCACATTTTCCCAAGGGACATTTCCCCTCCTTCCCAGCCCCCCGCCCCCGGCCTCCATCAGCATAAATAAGTTTTTGTATCAGATATCTTAAATGGATGGTCAGGTTTTTCCTAGTGTGGAAGTCCTTAAGTATTAGCTCTGATGAACCCTCTGACTTTCTTCAAATTCTTTTTTTTTTTAAACTTGTATACAGTATTAGCACCCCCAAAACCAATTAACTACACACCATACCTACCTATATATATAAAAAATACATGTACGTATATATTAAAAAAGTCTTACCATGTCATATGCTGAATTCACTTAAAATCACTTCAGTATTTTATTAAAATAGGTAAGAAACAATTCCATATGAATTTTTTCCATCTGCTCTGAATTCTACAGCCACTCCTTATGCCCATCCTTTCAATACTGAGTTCTGGCCTACTTATTCATTGTATGGGAGCCTTTTTATGTATTTTTATCATCCTGTTGCCATTCTCTATGCCTCTTCTAGTACTACTGTATTTATTCTGAAATACAGAACTGCAGATAGGCTAGTACTAAAAATTGTATTCAGATGCAGGTATAACAGTGACTTTGTTGTTCTGTTTCTTTCTTAATTTTTATTTTTTTTTTTTTTTTTTAAAGAAACCCAGTATTTTACATTCAGCTGATGCTGTTACAAAACTATCCTAACTCCAGGATCTCTCTCCTGAGTAGAAATAGTCAGTTCAGATACTACTACTGCATATAAGATGTTAAGTCTTTTACATTGAGTGGTGGGTAAAAAAGAAATAATTTAAAAGATTAAATCAAATCTGGAATTAGAATGAAGGAGAGTAGAGATGCTGATTTCAATGTAACACAATAGCATAAATATTATCATAACTTAAACTTTGGACATCTCATCCAGAAAAGGGAAGGCCAAATCTAAATTGCAGGTAGGTGTCTGCTTTTGTGGTTTATTCTACAACCTGCATAAACAAATACAGAATTCAATATCCTATAGGACACAGGGAAAAAAAAGCTTTGAAGCGTAAAGAGCTTAATTGCTGAAGATAGAAGGCTACATCTTCCACGTTTATCAAGACTAGAATACTGGACCTGGAGAACAGGCAGACTAGCAAGTGCAATAAAAACACCATTTGAGCAAAATCAGAAAAACATCTAAAAAGAAGCCGTACAAAACAAAGATTTAAAACAGTGACAACGAACAGACTTTTTTGCTTCATACGAAAGCTGCTTTGGAGTATGATTACCAGAGGATGTAGCTGAGTATCCATTGAAGCTGCTGTTGTTTCAAAAACCTGTAAAGAATTTACTAGCTCCTGAGCAGGAACATCTCCTTTTTCCAGTAAGGACTTTCTGTCTGTTAAAAACAGAAAAGGTGTTCAGTTTAAAACTGATATACTGCACCCAGCCTACCAGCCCCCTCAGCTTAAATCAGAAGTGTAATTACCAAAATTATTTATGTGAATGTTGTTCCTTAATGAACCAACCATAGCATCCCAGAGATGTGGTAATCCTGTTGCCATTTCAGCACCAAAATGTTTAGCTATAGTAGATAAGGCAAACTCAGCTCCTCTTCTCTGTACAACATAAGGTTTCTGAGCCTAGAATTAAACCATTTAAAGTAGTGAGGACAGATACATTTAAGAATAACAATTATTTTCAAAGAGGCTCCCATTATTATATAGGCATTCAATTCTGATCGTGTTTATAGCTACCTGCAATATATTTCCTAGTCAGTTTTTTTTTCTAAGTTACTTACTTTTATACAGGTTAAAAAAATAAAATCTTTTATAGCAGATTGTTTAAATCCTATAAAATTTGACGATATGGCTTTTGCTGACACAGGTCCATTTCAGCAAGAGGTTTTCCAACTGGTTCCAGTTCCAGAACCTATTGTCAATATAGGGGACACCAAGAACAGCTAGCAAAACCAATCCCAAAAGCAATGCTTGACTTGTTATTAGGCCCCTTCTGTTGCTCCCACACTCTTCAGAAAGTGGAATTGACAAAAATAATTTTAACAATTAAGAACATGATCTGACTAGGATCTTATTAAAACACATTGAAGATTTATGATTAAAACAGTAACAAAAAATTTAGCAGATCAAGTGTGGAAGTCACTCATACATCCTAAAGCCAGTCATATGTCAAATACTGGTTTTAATGCTTCAGAGCTTCCATTGTGCATCAATATGACCAACACTAACACCGGTAACGGGAAACAATCACAACAGTTTGTGGAAATCCATTTGCACGGATTTACACTGAGATATTCATATCCTGCATTAAATGTAAAATGCTTCAGGAGTATTAATTTTCTTAACACACTGAAGATTTAAAACATCATCATTATCAACTAACATGCTCCTTGCATCACAAAATTTTACATCAACCCAGTTCTCTTCATGAAAAGATTCTGGACATCCCTATTACAATGCTATCAAGTCCACTGAATTCAAACTAATGGGAGGGGTGGATGTGCAAGTTGCAGACACAGGTTTTTGAAGTTTACCTCATCAAGTTCTGTAGGAATGCTTCCACTACTGCCAGTGGGGAGATCTGCAATTGGGGCTTTTGGAGCTTTTGGAGTAGGACCTCGCCGACTTGTGATGGCAAAAGCAGCTTTCTGATGTCTGTACAGTGTAATTATTCCCCTGTGCTTAGTAACTGTATGATGCATCCCATCTTTATCAGAGTTGGGCCCTAAAGGAAGAAAAAAAGAGACTAGCTGACAACAATTTAAGCTGCAGTTTAAAACGTAGGTGAAATGATAGCTACCTATAAGTCATCTGCAGATCTCAACATGCCATCATCCTCAAGAATGGAAAAATTTAAGTATAGAGTTAACTCTGTTAAGAGGACATTACAGACTTGGCAAGAAAAATCTAAGTGTGCAAACTGCCACATAAATTCTTATTCACCAAGAAATACATGTAACAAAACTTCAGTCAAATTAGAAAGTTTGCACAAGTTGTTCTATATTTAAAAAAAAAAAATCAAACAACACATTATGTTAAGTTTAAACAAGCTTTTGTTCTGTGTCCCTTACAAACAGTTCAAGACTTCTGTCATGATGTAATAGCAGATGCTATCAGTATCTTTGGATTTGTTGATGTTTTTATTTATGCTAATTAGCTTAGTTTTCAGTCAGATAAGAATGTTATTCTACTGAGACGAAGGAGGACACATTCGTTAAAGAATAGTCAAACCTTAAAACAGGTTAGAGCATTAAGGTCTTAATTTGCGTTGTTCATTCAATCGATACATTTTTAGCAAGGGACAGTCATTTACAGAAAATCCATGACCATAGCAGGCCCAGGATTATTTGTTCCTTTTGAACACTGTCCTCATCTGTTGTTCTCTTATTATTAGCCTATGGAACATAACACTGTTTTCTAACGGGCTACTCTAATTTCCATACTGATTCAATTTCAATGAAAAGAGAGTCCAGTGGAGGGCTATAAGGGTGATTAGGACACTAGAACATCTCTTATGAGGAAAGGCTGAGAGAGCTAGGTCTGTTTAGCCTGGAGAAGACTGAGAGGGGATCTCATCAATGCTTATAAATATCTAAAAGGCGGGTGTCTAGAGGATGGGGCCAGATTCTTTTCAGCAGTGCCCAGTGACAGGACAAGGGGCAATGGGCACAAACTCAAACACAGGAAATTCCATCTCAACATGAGGAAAAACTTCACTTTGAGGGTGACAAAGCACTGGAACAGGCTGCCCAGAGAGGGTATGGAGTCTCCTTTTCTGGTGATACTCAAAACCCACCTGGACATGATCCTGTGCAGCCTGCTCTAGGTGATCTCCAGAGGTCTCTCCCAACCCCTACCAGAATGCTAAGCTTCATAACACACGTAAATGAAATGTGGTAAGTGGATAATAATTGAATGACAGTAAACAACTGAAAATTAGCACAAAGGTCTTATACATAGTTTCTGAAAACTATAAACACCATTAGTTGCACAGTGTGTAGTTTAACATACCTAAATGAAATAAATGAAGACTCAGTTGCTGGCATTTTAAAAACACTCAAGACTCTCTCAAATACTGATTTTAACAGTTCAGAGACAAACAGACATACTTTAAGAATCTTGGCAGTCTTAAATACCATACCTTTTGCGTTTTCCTGGCTACTCTGAGGCTGTGCAGGACATGCTGCTAGCGGGGTAAGATGCGGATCCACACAGAGGGAGTTGCAGAGATTTTTTATGATCTTTGAGTTGGGACAAGGAGACCTTGTTGTACACTGCTGAAGTAACTTTGCTATGCATGAAGCGACGTAGTTTTGTACGAGCGTATTCTCTTCTTTTTTTATAGCTTCCATTAAGGGTTTTATAACAGGATTTAACTTTTCTGGAAGCTGCTGCAAGTTCACAACTGCACATGCAGCAAATGTATGGACTCGCAGGTGCAAAACTTGCCAGTCTTGATTTGTTTCTGTAACAGTCATTTGGACTTGTTGTCTTTTACTGTCCAACTGTTGTAGAATTTTAGGATTCAAAGTAAAGGATGATGTCACTTCATTGAAAACAGAAGTAACCTAATAAAAAGGAAGAAAGAGTTACAAATCTGTTTTATTTACTGTAAAATGGGATATTCTCTGAAAACATGAGAATACAAGTCACTTCACCAGGTATTATCATCTCCATTTTTCCAGCAAATAGAGGAATGCTCCAAAAATGTAGTTTCTGGAATCTTGAACTGCAGCTCAAGGGGAAAGTCAGGCATATTATGAACATTTCAAATCTAGATTCCCAAAGCTAAAAGAAGAATTTATGTACTCCTCCAAATTTAGATTGTCCTATATCCACCAGATATATCTAGATATTCTGGCAATATCTAAGCACGTGACAGACAAGCAAAGGAGAACATGCTGTAAATGCAAGATGCCAGAAGGGATGTGCAAGGTCCCATACATGAAAATGTTTTTAAGCTGATTTTTCTTTTAAGGAAAGAGACTGGGATAAAAATCTAAGGAAAAAGCCAGCACGGAGTATTTGGAGGACTGACCATATCCTCCCCCCACTCACAACTGGCTGACTGCTATTGCTTAAATCTTTCACAGGAAACAGATTAAAAGCCACGTGGAATCATGGAAATGTTGAACTTATTCTGATAGGACAGTTACTTCTAAGTAAAGGAAAGATGACAGCTGTTGAAAGGGGTTAGTCTGAGGGGGTGCGTGCATTAGTTTTTGCCTTTTAGTTTTAAGTGTTCAGGTCAAGTCTTTCAACTATCAGACTTGTGCTCCTTCATGTTACAGATACCTCAAGTTCTACTCCACATGACCTTGATGACTGGAATGACCAAAGGATGCAAAGTGTATGAATAGCGAGGAAGAGGACAGGATTTTTACATCTAATGCATGAGGACCCATACTGCAGTGCAGCGTAGGTTTGGTGTCTGTATTTCAAGAAAACTTGAAGAGCTGAAAAGGGTGCAGAAGAGAGCCACAGAAAATAGCAAGTAGTTATGGAATGAATCTTCTAATCCAGAATGGGTATCTTTTGGAAAAAACCCAAACCACCACACATTGGTCAACTAGTCATATTACTACATTCAAGTAAACAGCTGAGGTATATGAAAACTCCTGTAGTTCACAGACTATGAGCTCGCATAATTGTGTCTGGCTTTACCTCAGGAATTAATTTTAGAAGGTACCCATAATCAGACTGGCTGCCAAAATTCCCTCAGCCCATAAACAGAATTACCTATCACTTTAAAGACACACTGATATGTCCAAGTTAAGTTACTGCATATTACTACATAGAATCATAGAATGGTTTGCGTTGGAAG